ATGCAAGAGAAATAAATAGTATTACTAATGGGAGGAAGGAGGACTGACCAAACTGGCTATGCAGGCATATTTAGGGGCTCTGTAAGCATTTTTAAAAATATTGAGCTGAAAAGCTACTGGAGGACAATCATATGCCAGCCTATATATCTGGCAGGGGTGAAACACTGTTACTAAATATTAACTATAGGTGTTCACATACAAACAGTACTGAGAACAAGCCATGCCAATAACTTGTTAAAAATGGAATGTGTATAGAAACTACTATTCTTCCCTCTCTCCCACTCCTTTAAATTTGGAAAGCGGATGAGTTCATTTAATTTACAAAGGTCAGATCCAGTATGGCTACTCCGGTATTCAAAACTAAAAATGGAAAATAACTTTTTATTTTAGCTACAAAACAATTCTCATGATGGTTGTCCTTTGGCAATATTACACCAGGATATTTCCCTATTTTTTTGTAAGCCATAATTACACTGTAACTCTCCCTACAACATAACATAACAAGATTGCAGGTAGTTTCTAAAGGTGTCTTCTATGTGGCTCTGTATCTGTCAGCCCTGAAAAAGCATGGGATAAATATGTTTGGTGATCAATGTTTTCATTGATACCTTTTAAGTCCATTGGAATGAGCTGGACATTCCGGATGGATAAAGAGGAAAAATAGCAAATATATTGCTTAAATGAGTATATTCTTTTTTCAACAGCTGGCATGTATAAATTTAGAACCACTCAGAATATACAAGGGAAAAGTGTTGATAAATCAGAAATAATAAAATGTCTGAATAGAATGTAATAAGTATCATACCCAATGTCAATTAAAACAATTTTTGTTAACATTATTTCACTTGAGAAGGTTCAGAGAAAAGAACTGTATTGTTCACAGAGTGTGATTTGGAGGGAAGATTAGCAGTACAGTGCTTTTATCTCCATCCAGGCTTTGACTATGCTTATGTTAGTAGCATACAGTAGAAAACTCTGTGTGTGTGTGTGTGAGAGAGAGAGAGAGAGCGCGCGCGTGTTTCTAGTGTGCTTATGACATCCTCAGTTTCCAATGCGGAGCTTAGTTAAAAGAGCATGTGTTAGCAACTCCCAATAGTTGGAGACCTCTGGCAAAGAGTGAGACAGAGGGAGGGAGCATTAGCAGTCTTGACTAAAGTAGTGAGTGCAGTGTTCTGGGCATGGAATGACGCACGTATTGTGCTGGATCAGAAATGCGGAAGAATTAGAAGCCTCTAAGTGTCAACTAGTCTTGGTTTAAAGAGCAAAGCAGCATAGCTACGAAGCTGTTATCTGTGTGGTGCTGGTAAGATATACAACCTTCTTTGACTTCTCTCTCGCTTGCTCGTTTTCTTCCCTTCCTCCCTCCCATTTTCCTCCCCTCAAGGCCTACATAGCACAAGGCTTTTGACAGGGATCAAGGGGGAAACAATTTGGTTGGCCTTTACAGATTTTCTTTTTCTTTAATTTTTTTTAAAATCCTTTTTTGTTTTACGTTTAGTCTGAAGCAAAAAGATTGTACTAGTCAGAGTTGAAATGCTAGCTCTTTTCTTGTCTCTGTGTGTGTGTGTCTGTGTGTGTGTATGAATACACACGCAGTCTATGTATGTACATTTTTGAGTAAACAAGAGTAAAAGTCCATTTCAGCTGGCCTGAAGATATGAGGCCTTGGAGAGACTATCTATTTCCACAACAGCCCCAAGTTCCTGTTACATTACATGTTGCTCTCTGCTGATGGCAGTTGATAATTGGTAGCCACAGTCTGTGGTCGGAGCGCAGCATTTTGTCTAGCACCTGGGCTGGGCCCTGCTGATATACAGTGGAGTGAGAGAGAGACACACACACACAGAGACAGAAAATAAGCTAGCTGTAACTGTGCAACTCTGAGTGAGCGGCCTCAAGGGGATATTGCCTCACTGCATGGAACTTACCTGAGGCTGACTGGTGATGCTGTGTGTGCTGGGGGGGGTTCACAGAGAGGCTTGAATCCCTGTTCCAGAGGACACGATTATGTCCAGTGAACAGCGTAACAGTACAGCGTTGAAGGATGCTCAGTTAAAAGACCTGTTATTGGAAAAAGGTACTCCAGTTTCTGGTTGTATTTTTTAAATATTTATTTAATTTATGCATGAATCAGATTATTGTAAATTTGATCTCTGACTTCTATCTGATCTGCCAAGTTACAGTATTGCTGTATCAGAGCTAGTCTTATGAGCAGACGTGTATACATAGAAGGGAGCCTATTATATATGCACACAGTTGTTTGTACAACTATCTCTTTAGGAGAATGGTCCAGGCATTTCTACCCACTTGAATATAAATAAGCTACTGTATCCCCTTTTCTAGTCTTAATTTATTCTCATAGGAAAGTGTTTTCAATAAATACACAATAGCCTTTTTTGCTGCATATTTGTGAAGTAAAAAAAAAAAAATTCCCCTGGAAAAACTGTATTACTGATCTTGTCTTCTTTATGCCTGTGTGTGGGTAAGTAGATATAATTTTTTCCATGCTCAATTTTTGAAAACCAGCTTTACTAGGGGATGTGGGTGGTGGTGGTTAGGAGGAGGTGCCTCTCACGTTTGCTGTTAACTAGGGAGCCTGGGTGGGGTGGGAGGATATGTGATATGACTGTATGCTGGCATACATCAGAAACTGCACTAATTGCCTTGAGTTGTGTCAATAAATGTGGACTACTTGTGCTATTGTCCTTTTTCTTCTGTTCTAATAACTAGCAGGGGGACAAATTGGGTACAGGAAAGGATTAAATATCTTCCCCCCCCGCTCTTTGAAAATAAATTGTTACCCTTGAAAATCTAATGGGGTGTTTTCTTATGCTCTGTTTTTAATTTTTGCGTAATAAAGCCAAATTTGGAAAGAGTTTGTGTGTACATGCTGTAATAGAATACATTGGTTTTATTATATGTGACCATATTTTGATTGTATTTTTTTATTTGTAAGTCTCTCAAATGCATCAGATCCTGAAACATTTATTGAGAGAAAGGAGGTATTGCCCTTTCATAGAAATACTGGGCCCTTGATAAATTTGGAAGACTCAGCCCTTGGCAGATATAGAACTAAAATGTCATTCCAGTGATCTCTACATTCTAGGAAAGTCTAAATCAACATTACTTGTTTTGCATGTTGCCCTTTAGCAACAATTTCCACAGTAAATATATAGGCAAAAAAAAAAAAAAGTTGTGAGTATGGAGATGCTCAAATATCTAGCCTTTATATATTCTGTAGTATAGCAATTGTCTTCTGTGTCAAGTTTGTAACCTGCAATTGTGACCTATGGCAAATTGACCTTATCCTAAAACACATACGTAATGTCTGTGTTCCATGCTTTTAGACGTTTTAGCTATCAGTACAATGACCTGAGAAAAAACTGACAAACTGATTGTTGTATGTGGAGTAATGGGAGGGCATAAAATACTGAAGAATGAAAGTGTGTGTAGGAGTTGATTGTGTTATTAATGAATGGTCTATACTTAACTGAAAAGAAAAAATAAATTAAAAATGTAATTGCATTGTTAAAAGAGCTTTTAATCTTGGAATAATTTCAGTTACACCTACTGTGATTAGCAATGAAATTAAGCTGCTAGACTTCTGTTTGTATGCCCTTGTTCATAGATAACTTCTGACAAGTAACAAAACGTTGTAGCACAGGCAGATATAGCAGCTATTACTACATGCTAGCACTGGCAACCTTGTAGTATGCTTGCCTCTTTGCATTTCTTGAAGGTTTGTGATGGTTTTGTTTGGAAGAGATTTTAGAAGCTAAAAAGCATGGTTTGCTTTCATTTGCAATATAGGACATTTTGAAGAATACATATAGCAATCCTCTTTTCGCTCAACTTTTAAAAATCACCCTGGAAAAGAAAGATATAAAAGGAAAAAAGTCCCCTTTTTTTCCCCAGTGTATTTACATTTCTGCTTTTTAACTTTGTTAGCTTCTTTTTTGCCTGGCTAAGATTTTCAAAATTGGGAGCCTAAATTTGGGCTCTAAATCCATATTTAGGCATCTTACTAGGTGGTGTCATTTTTCAGAAGTGCACTTTTCCCTTTTTACCTGTGTGGCAGCCAAAGATGTGCTCCCATAGACTAGACATTCTCTTTGAAGACTAGAGCATCCCTTGTGAGTGATGAACTGTTTCCATAGAAATGTAAGCGAATGCATAACTCCGAAGGGCAAATTCTTCCCTTAGACACACCCATGCTGCTCCAGTAAAGCCAGTGGGGTTGCATGGGTGTAAGTGAGGGAAATTTTTGCCTCTAAATAACAATTTTTTAGTGGTACAAGATAGTCTTTTGCCAAAATGGCAGAGTTTGTAATGTTTACATTATAAATAGCATCATTTTCTCAATTGTGTCTGTGCTGGCTTTCATTTTTAACCATGCTGGACTTTGCATTAGTTTGAGGTACCAGAACTCAGTAACTCAAGGTAAAATCCTACCGAAGACCAGGCACTTCGTAGTTTTCATACGAGTTCGCAGATCGAGGCTTTCCTTTAACTCTTTCAGTTACGTTCTATCAGCTGCAAATTGTTAGCATGGCTGAGATACGGGAAACAAAGTCTTGATTCCTCTCTCTGCAGTATCAGCTCTGATCCTGCTGGAGATCCCAGGATTGTCCTCACACTGTAGGATGTTAATAAAAATAGCCTTTCCCACTGGGATCACTCCAAAGGACTGTGCCGCCTTCTTCTTCGGGAAGAATTACCTTTGTGGAGGCTGCGGTGAGAGTGCATCATGAAGTGTCTCTTAACCTTTGATTTGCAGCTACTCAATGGCCTAAACTCTGTTAGTGCTTAAATGTGCTCTCTGCATTCTGGTTGGGGTGCAGAGTTCTTGACAAAACTGATGTTTTAATTAATTTAAAAATGGCCATCAATAAATAGCTTGAGACAATTGTCGTGAGACACTGAATGTTTGCAGAGTATTGTTGTGGAAAACAAATGTTCTGTGTCCAGGCTGATGGTTTTTCTCCCTTTTATTGTTTCAGCTGAACTGGAGTTTGTTCAGATAATCATTATAATCGTGGTGATAACTGTTATGGTGATAGTGATCATCTGCCTTTTGAACCATTACAAACTCTCAACACGCTCTTTCATCAACCGACAGAGCCAAAACAGGAGGCAGGAAGAAACTTTGCAGCCGGTAAGTCCAACCCCTTCATCCCATCCTCCTCCTCCTCTTTCATGTTGGTCTCTTTCAGGGCTTAAAGATACATGAAGTTCTGATTATAGGCAGCCATGCAAAAAACTTCTGGCGTCAGTTTTATCATTCTCTGTTAGTGAGTTAGTTTTTTTGCCATTGTGTGTATTAATGAAAAAAAGAATCAGTTCACGATTTTAGAATTTCACTGCACGGCTGTTTTTAGGCACTGCTCTGTTTTATATAGCAGCTTTTTCGTGCTTCATATTTGTCTGGTGGTGCCAGAATGTGAAAGCCCTGACTACTGCTTCTACTGCGTTTTTACGTTTTTAGTAAATTTTCACCATATGGAAGGTGTTGCAGTGATGACCTGGGAAGATTTGTCATTTCCTGTTTATCCTTAGAATAGATACAGCAGAGGCAGCAGCAGCAGCATTAGCTCCTTACCAGCTACTGGGGAGAATGTGAAAAGCCTGACATTTTTCTCTCAGCTAATTCCCTTCCATTCCCAGGCTTGTCTCTGCTATCTGGAGGGGGGAAAGGCATCAAACAAACGTCTTAAATCAGGAAAATGATATATCCCCCAATTGGGGAGAGTCGTGACATTGGTGGGGCTCAGTAACTGAGTAAATGCCTTTTTGTAGTTCCTCTGGGTTCTCCCTTTCCCCCTTGTTCTGTTTAATGTCATTTTCACAGTTGCAGCACATGTGGCAGCCGTGCCATCGAGGGTCCAGAGATGTTGCAGGCAGTCCCTACTAATGCCCCTCACGTTGCTGGTGTCCATTAAAGGCAATGGCAAAACTCCTTTGACTTCAGTGGGGCTAGAATTTTATGCCAAGAGTTTGATACTTAGACGAAAGGTCCCACATGTAACCCTAAGGTCTCTCTTCTGTCTTCTAGAGCACCTCCTAATGGTGAAAGGAGAGCTCGCTACCTGTGCCCATTGAGCTCTTTCAGCTCAGGTTGGCAGCAAGAATGCCATTTATGATGATAGTTTTTGTGATAAAGACATCATACCCCCTTAGGAACTGGGTTGAAACCACAACCTTATTTCACATGCCCATTGAACATCCAGTGTCCATCAGATGATGATGACTTTCAACCACTACTGCATTGGGCTGGTTTCAAACCACTGACTAGAGGTGTATCTCCTTTCCAACCGACTGAGCCACCCAAGAACTTGCTTCTTTTTTACATCTGTTTGTAACATGATTATACATTTGATCCAAAGGGAAAAAACTTGTATAAAGTCCCAGTTTTATGTTTTTGAGTGAAGTTAGTACTTATGGAAATGACGGATGAATTACGCTAGTTAGGGTTAGACACAGTGCCAGCATTCTCACTCCCCACCAGTACCAGCCCCTGCTGTTCTGGTGATGGGCTTCTTCTGAGCAGAGAGAGACACTGTCTCAACTTGTGTAGTGATTTTGTATTTGTAGGTGAATGGGGACTAAGCTTGACGCTATCAAATGGGTGACCTAAGTCAGCATTGACCCACTGTTCCACCTGGCCCTCTCACTCATGGTGTCATTTTAAAACAATGTAGTAAGTCCCTAGTAAATTCTTCTTTGGTAGGACAAATCGCATTCTTTATTTTTTTGCAGATGATTTTGGTTCTGAGGGGGCTATTTTATATCCTATAGCCTAGGCAAACAGATGCTATAAGCATCTCAAAATATATTCCCTGCCAACACACACATTACAATGTTAGTGTCATGAGATGACAACGTAGTCCTGAAAGACACAGGGCAAAATATGGCAAACTTATAGTCCCTGGAGTTCTTCTTTACAGACCACCTACATTCTGTTGGTATCTGGGGGATCTATTTGTTCTTGCACCTAAGAGAAGGAGGAGAGAAACTGTCTTATTGAGAGTAAATGATGTAGACGTTCCCTCTCCCAAGGTACCTCCAGAATATTGTATTCTAACGGGGTTAAAACAAAATCAGAGGTCTTAAAACTTTTCACTCACATACTTCTTACTGTCTGGAGAAATCATTTAGACTAACTTGAGGATTTTTCTTAAATGGACACCATGAATTTAAACTTTTTCAGACAGAAGTATGATTGTTTACCTACAATTGCTAGAAGTACCCCTGAAATAACTAGAGGAGGTTAAGAAATATTTTTTATCTCCCCCTTGTTTTAATGCAGAGTGCTGTCAAATGCATACAATAGTCCATTTCAAGATTTCCCTTTTATAGTCAATATCCCCTGTTGTTTGAGTGGGTCTTGGTCATAGGAACTATGGAGAGAAAAACATCTTTTTGTAAATAAGAAAATTTAATTTGGTACTGCGGAGAGAGGAGCAGGTATCATGCCTGAAACAATTTTTAACTCATTTTTAAAATAATAACTAAATTTCTGTTTGATGGTACCCTTTTAAATAATGATAATCCCAGTCCAGTGGCTGGGAAGAGTTAAGAAACTCTCTGGGATGGGGTTGCCATCACTATTGTTCATTTGGGTTTCTATTCAGCCAAGAACTTTACTTCAAATGATTTTTCCATTTTTGTAGGGCACAACAGGTGATGCTACTGGGATGGTCCCTAACTAAGGCCTGATCCAAAGCTCACTGAGTCAACAGAAACATTCTCATTGACTTCCTTGGGCTTTGGATCAGATCCAAGGTTGATCCTGCAAACACTTGCGGTATGTCTATGTTGCAATCTAAGCCTGGGATTCAAACTGAGGCTCAAGCCTAAACTCCCTTCCATCTACACACAAATTGCGCTAACCCAGATCTCGGACCCAAAGTCCGAGGACCCCACAGCGGTGGAGGGTCTGAGTCAAGCTGGGACCCAGGGTTCAAGCCCTGTTGCTTTGCAGTATAGACACAGCCCCACTAGCTTCATGCTCTAGGAATCCGCCAAAAGTATCCCCCAATCCCCTGGGCCGACTTCCTTTGTTCTCTGGACAGTCAAGTTTTTCCACACTGCACCACAAACAAAGGGCTAGAGCAGCCATATTTTGGAAGGGCACTAGGAAATCTGGGATATGGGTGGTTGGACACCGGTCCACATAATGCACTGTAAATGCTGGAGCCCCAGGTTGGGATCCAGAGTTTAACAGTTCCTGACCTGGAGTTACAAATGAATGTAGATGCTCAAGCACTAGGTTAACAAACCCGGGGTCTGCTAACTTGAGTTCTACTAACCCTGGGCTTATACTGTAGTGCAGACGTATCCTTAGGCACATGTCTATAAAACTGGAAAGAATTTCCAATAGAAACAGTTACATTAAAAGCAATAAACATTCCCCTGCAATGTTCACAGTCCAGGCAGTGAAGGGTTGTGCCAGTTCATGAAAACCAGAAAATGCACTATTGTGTGAACCAACTTGGAAAATGAGTAGTCTGTTTTCATTGTCTAAACAGTGTGAAATGCACAAGGTAAATAAACGGCTTCAATGATGAAAAGTAACAGAAGTCACGTAGATTTTTTTTTTTTAATTCTGTATATAGGTTTTCAACCTGGCAGTGTCCCTTTAAGTATTTTGCAGGTCTTGTTCTCTTTCAATTGATGAAGGTATTCAGACAGAGAACGGATTTAGAATACTTATTGACTACTAATTGCTAAAGGAAGTGCACATCACTCTGGCTCAGCCCTTTGCTGTTTCTGAGCAGCAGTAACTGAAAAGAGTGGCAGTTCAGTATTTTCATAGAAGAATTACTTTTAAAAATAAAATGCAAGTGGTCATTTCTCTGTTTCAGTGAACTTTGTCCAGTTTCTGCTGTTGCTTCCTTACATCCAGGCAATCCTATTAACTTCATTGAGACTGCACAGATGTAACTGCAGGCAGAATCTTAGCCCCTTTTGTTTTAATTTGAATTCTATACACTGGACAGCTCTGACAGGATTTTCATATGAGTTCATATTTGCATAAGTCTTAGATTTGCTCCTTTTATCACAACCAGTCCTGGTGCTGCTAATGTCTGAACTGTAGCTAGATCACACAGGTTTATGGTGCCACAAAGACTGGAAACCCAGATAGCTCATGTGTTTTATTCATGTCTTTCAAAAAAAAAAAAAAAACGATTGAAATTAACAGATTAAAACTCCTCCTTCTGGTATTGCCAGCTTCAGGTGTTTAAAAATCATGAGACTGGCTTAAAAGTCATTGGATCTTTTTTAAAAAAATACATTTTGGGTTATTTTTATTTGCCTTCTGATTTTGAAGTCTTTACAGAGAGAATGCACTTGCTTCATGTTTTCAAGATTTTCTTTGCAAACTTGAGGGCCAGAAACTTACGTATTTTTTTAATTGGAATTCTCGTACAATCTCTTGATTCATGCAGTTGGGCATTAAAAATAACACCAAATATCACAAGGTTTGCAATAAGATCACAAGAGTTGTCAATGCTGACAAGCCCGGCTTTTCAAAGGGCAAAAAGGGACTAGTCCTGAAAATGTCAGTGACTCTTTAAAAGAACATGCTAATAACTGACTGTGTCTCAGTGTTCAAGCTGAAATGCGCTTTCCTGTGTACCCATCAATTCTCTGCTTTCTTTTCTTTTGTCTTACTCTTCTCCAGCCTTTCCTCTACTCGCCTTAATTTTTAAATTGTCTTGATTTAAGGTGCTGAAAACATCACATGTATCTAAACCAGACTCACAGATATGTGATTTTTCCATAGCAGTTTTGCTTCAGGCAGATGTTTAAGGTTCTACTACATAACCAGTCTTGCTATCTACCAGGGTGGCTAAAAACACTATTCTTCAGTGTAGATGGAACCTAACCATGACTTCAAATCATAATAGAAATAACACAAGCTTTCATACGATTTTAGGGACAGAGTTAGATCCCGCCTATGCTGCAGGGTTATACTGTGTTGAGGGACAGCCATGTTGTAAATGGGCTCCCTGACATGGTTGGATTTGTATTGTACAGGTGACCTAAAACGGCAAGGTAGTACTTAATTGTACAGACATTATGGTTAACAAAACATTAAATGTTGCCCCCTGCTGGTCAACCCATAGTGGAATAAGTGGTATTTGCTTGAAT